TCACATTTAGTGTTATTATTGATATGGTTGCATTTATATGTGCCTTTGTACTTTTTGTTTTCTACAATATATGTCACATATCTTTTTGTTCCTCTATTTCATCTTTCTGGCTTTATTTTTCTTTAAGTAAATATTTTCTAATAAAGTATTTTAATTTCTTCCATGATTTTTTAAATATTTTCAAATTTTACTTTCTTAGTGATTTCCCTAGACACCATAACTTACAGAATCTACTTCAGATTTATGCTCACTCCATGCTGCTAAAATACAGAAATCTCCCACAGAACTCTCTCCTCCTCTTCTTGTGCTATTTTTTTATACACACATTACATCTGTATGCTCCAAACCCAGCAATGTATTGTTATAACTATTATTCCATACAACCTACTACATTTTAAAGAAACTAAAAGAAGGGGAGCAAGTAGAGATCAATAGAGTTTATAACCCTCTTATTTATCATTTTTGTTTCTCTTTGTTTCTTTTTTATTGCCATCCGGCATAATTTCCTTACTCCAGTGTTGTCCTCACAACTGCCTTTGTGCTTTTATTGTCAAGTATATTACATTTCCATATGTTACAGGCCCAACCAATGCAATTATATGCATATTGTTTTTAGACAATTGATTTTTAAATCAGTTAAGAGAAGATAAGAGGAAAAATGCAATTGCACTGTCTTTTATAATTGCATAATTACTTCATCAGTGTTCTTTGGGATTGTTTGTGAGTTTTTGTTGGTTTTTTTTTTTGTGTGTGTATGTGTGTGTACTGTAATTACTGTCTGGAATCATTTGCTTTCGGCCTGAGGAATTCACTTTAGTGTTTTCTGTAAGACACATCTGCTAGCCACAAATTCTCTATTTTTGTTCATTTAGGAATGTTGTTGTTTCTCCTTTGGTTTTGGAAGATAGTTTTGCTGGATATAAGATTCTTATTTCATAGATTTTTCTTTTCAGCACTTGGAATATGCCTTCCTGCCACCTTTTGGTTCACTGTTTGTTCTGAGAAATCAGCTATTAATCCTATTTTAACTCCCTTATACATAAGTAGTCTTTTCTCTTTTCTTTTTTCTCTCTCTCTCACTGAATTCAAGATTTTTAGCTTTCAGCATTTTTACTATCACATGTCTATGGATGGATCTCTTTGTTTAATTTTATTTGTAGTTTGTTGACTTTCTTATTTGTATAAATTAATGTGTTTTATCAAAATTGGGAACTTTTTAGTCATTGTCTCTTTGAATATTTTTTCTGCTCTTTTCTCTTCTTTTGGTACTCCCATTACTTGTATGTTAGTGTGATTAATGGTGTGCCATATCTCTGAGGCTCAGTCTTCTGCCTGCTCAAATCAACTGGTGAGCCCCACAGTGAATTTTTCATTTCTGTAGTTAACTTTTCAGTTCCAGAATGTCCTTTTTGTTCATTTTAGTAATTTCCATATCTATTATGTGATGAAACATGATCAGCATACATTTTTTAATTCTTTTTAAAAATACATTTTTGTTGATTTCAGAGATGAAGGGAGAGGGGAGAGGTAGAGACATCAATGATGAGAGAGTATCATTGATTGGCTGCCTCCTGCACTCCCCTCACTGAGGATCAAGCCAATTGAGCCATGACCACCTGGTTCATAGGTCAACATTCAACCACTGGACCACACCAGCTGGATCAATTTTTTATTTCTTTAAATATGGTTTCCTTTAGTTCTTTGAACATATTTATAATAGTTGCCTTGGTGTCTTTGTTTAAGTACAGTATCTAAACCCTCTTAAACAGTCTCTGTCACTTGTGTTCTTGCTGTGTCTAGATCACGTCTCCTTATTGTTTACAACTGGACATTTTAAGTAATATATTATAACAATTCTGGACACTGATCCTTCTCACTCTATTTCCCCACCCCCAGACCCAATTTTTTCTTGTTTGCTTATTTGCTTAGTGACTTAACTAGGCTAGTTCAAGGAGACCTATTCTACTACTGAATGAGTCTGCTGTCTCTCCTCACGAGACACAGCTTTAGGTTGTGGCATTCTTGTGTTTCCTTTTTTTAAATGGCATGACTCTTTCTAATGGCTCTCTGCCTGCCTTTCTGCCTTAACTCCCTGTTAGACTTCTGTGGGTCAGTTTCTATTTTATCACATCCAGCCATTAGCCTCCACTAATTTCTAGTTGTTTGATCTGTTGTTTGGCTCTGGGCATAAAGTGCACCTGCAGCCTGATTCAGTTCATGTCAGACCCCTGCACAGGGAGCCTCTTCAAGGCCATTCCTTAAAGTTTGATCTGACCCCAGGAGGACTCTTCTTAGCTGTCTCGGTCTCTGGTTCTCTCTGTTAAACCTCCAGCTGGCCTATCATGCTGTAATGGAGCTGTGAGTCTCTTAATGCCTTACCACCAAGATTTCTATTGTTTTGAACAGCACCTTAGGCTTTCGTGCCAATATAAATTTAAAATTTTAGAGTACACAATTTCTTAGAAAGCTGTAACTTAATAAAGCTAATTCAAGAGGAAAAATAAAAATTGAATAATCCTCTTTATTAGAGAAATGTAATCAATATTTTAAAGCCATGCCATCATGAAATATTAAGTCAAGGTCATTTTTACTGGCAAGTTCTACCAAACATTTAAATTATACGTATTCAGCCAAAACCGGTTTGGCTCAGTGGTAGAGCGTCGGTCTGCAGACTGAAAGGTCCCAGGTTCGATTCCGGTCAAGGGCATGTACATTGGTTGTGGGCACATCCCCGGTAGGAGATGTGCAAAAGGCAGCTGGTCGATGTTTCTCTCTCATCGACGTTTCTAGCTTTCTATCCGTCTCCCTTCCTCTCTGTAAGAAAAATCAATAAAATATATTTTTAAAAAATAAATAAATTATACGTATTCAGTCTTTTTTTTAAAAAAAGTTCTTTATTGTTTAAAGTTTTATATATGTCACCTTATGTATTCAGTCTTATACTATCTCTTCCAGAGAATGGAAAAATGAGGACATTCTCCCAGTCATTTGGCAGTGAAACTAAGAACAGTACAAGAAGGTCAAATAAAGGTCTATCTTATTCACACCCAGGCTGGCCACACCCTCATGGAGTAAGAGTCCCTGCTGGGGGGCATGGCCAGCCTGCAAACAGCCATCAGCTCCTCACCTAGGCTAGTCAGGCACCCCAGGGGGAACCCCCACCATAAAGGGTGTATGGCCTACTTGAAAACAGACCTCAGCCTCTCACCCAGGCTGGCCACACACACCTCAGCAGGGACCCTCACTCCATGGGGGCATGGCTGGCCTGCAAAACACCACAGGCCCTTCGCCCAGGCCGCCCCATGCCCCAAGGGAACCCCCACCCTGATCCAGAACATCCTTCAGGGAAACCAGCTGGCCCCCACCCATGCACCAGGCCTCTATCTATACTAATAAAATGGTAATATACTAATTAGACTGGGAAACCTTCCAGGAGACTTTGGAAACATTGTGATAAGTCAAAGTAGTCACAAAAAATCACATATTTTAAGATTCCATTTATATGGAATGTTAATAGGCAAATCATAGAGAAAGTAGATCAGTGGTTTCCAGTGTTAGAATGGTATGGGTTTCTTTGGGGAATAATAAAAATGTTCTAGCCAGCCAGTGTGCTCAGTGGTTGAGCGTGGACCATGCACCAAGAGGTTGCTAGTTCAATTCCTGGTCGAATCACATGCCCACCCCAGGTTGTAGGTGTGCAGGAGGCAGCCAGTTGATGTTTCCCCTCTCATAGATGTTTCTCTCTCCCTCTCCTCTCTCTTCTCTGTAAAATCAATTTTTTAAATGTTCTAAAATTAGATAGTGGTGCTAGTTGTTCACTCTATAAATATACTAAAAACCGCTGAACTGTATACTTTAAGGGGGCAAATTGTATGGTATGTGAATTATATCCCAGTAAAACTGTCATTTAAAAGAGATGGCAGGGAGGGTGCCTGGCCGGATAGCTCAGTTGGTTAGATCATCATCCCAATATACCAAGTTTGTAGGTTCAATCCCTGGTCAGCGCACATATAAGAATCAACCAGTGAATATATATAAATAAGTAGAACAACAAATCTATGGCTCTCTTTCTTTCCTCTTCTTATTTCCCTTCCTCCCCCTCTTCTCTCTAAAATCAATTTTTTTTAATATATTCTATTGATTTTGTACAGAGAGGAAGGGAGAGAGATAGAGAGTTAGAAACATCAATGAGAGAGAGTCATCGATCAGCTGCCTCTTGCACACCCCCTACTGGGGATATGCCCGCAACCAAGGTACATGCCCTTGACAGGAATCGAACCCGGGACCCTTCAGTCCCCAAGCCGACGCTCTATCCATTGAGCCAAACCGGTCTCGGCTCTAAAATCAATTTTAAAAATAAATAAATAAAAATAAAAAGAGGTGTGTGTGGGACGAGGGGGGGGCGGGGGGAGACACGGGAAGGAGAGTCTGGAGCAAAATGGTTTTCTCTCCTATACTCCACCCTGTCAATTACCACTGCCACCAGGGTCCTGGCATCTCCTGTCATACTCAGGAAGATGTGATTTTTTTTCTTTTTCAAAACTTCATTGAGAAAGTGCCAACTCTGCAGCAGAAACAATAAGGAAGCCAAGCATTACCATTGTACTCCTCCACTTCTTAATGTGTTAACCTGGAGGAGGTGGCTTAGAGGATTGGGGCCTTTAAAACTTGATGGACTGGAAATCAGGACACAAGAGGGCTACCCAGCTCTCAGGCCCACCCCCCCGCCCCCCTTCTCGAATTTTCCTCAACCAGGAATGAGGGTGTTCACTGCATCGGCCAAATACTAGTAGCGCTGTGATCATTTTTTATTAATCACCAAATCTAATGGTCAAAAGTGCCATAAGTACAATCAATCCCCTGTGTCTTTCCCACCCAATATACTAGCACGACTCCCTGGCTTCCCCTGCTGCACTGACAGCTGACTTTACTGGACCAGTTGGCTCTCACTCATCTTGTGCTTTCTCTCCCCTTTCTCCCATCCTCCTCTTGTTTTTCAGTGGCTGCTTCAACACCCAACTCCACTGCTGGTGCGGCCATGAACTCTTTGACCTCTCTCGGGACTCTGCAAGGACTGGCGGGAGCCACAGTTGGACTGAATAATATTAATGCACTCGCAGGTACCATAAACAGTGAGTATTTGCTGCTCTGGTGGACAGCCTTCCCCCAAATTCTCCACAGAAAACGCTCAGCCAGAGTGACCTAAAAAGGATACGTAACAGGGAGAACTAATACTTGGGATGGAGGAGCGCATGCTTTGATAGGCAGATGCTGTCTAGGTTCATTTTGCCTCAAAGCACCCAACCCCTCCCCACCCCCAGTCTCCTCTAATATGCAGCGTGTACATATCCATCCATACGTCTCTGGGGTTGGCAGACATTTGTAGGTTTTGAGGGTTTGGTTGGGTTTGGGATTTGTTCTGTTCTTCTGAGAGGCAGTGTGCTAAGAATAGAAAAATTGATGGACCAGAAATCAGGACGCACAGGTCCCACTCCGAATCTGGTCGCAATTACTTGTAGGATCTTAGGCAAATCACTGCCCTGCTCTGAGCTTCATTTTCCCATTTGACAATTGAAAGTTCTGGATCAGGTGACCGTAAGAGTGCCCTCTAGCTCTAACACCCAAAGATTCGTGCCAGTTAAATAGAGGGGAAGCAGGGCCTTGGAACGAAGAAAGTCCAGCTGAGCAGAGAGGAGCCGCTGCATACGAACGTGGTCTGGAGTCTTTATTAAGCCTCACAGGCAGGGTTACTGAGCAGTGCAGCTCTGAAGGGCTGCTGTTCTTCCCCCACAGGTTGGGTCAGACTCTTACAGAATCACAGTTCTGAAACATAGAGACTCACCCAAGATCGCTAGTCTGCTACGTGGCTTATCCACTCTGGCACTTTAGACCTGGGAGCACAGTACCCAGCCAACAGATAAACACATTGCAGGCCCTTGCTTGGCCTTGGCTCCTGCACTGGGGAACAGCCCTGAGCCCACAGAGGGGCATCATGTTTGTCTTTCCCTCAGCCCGGTCCCCCCTGGGTTCCTGAGAGCAGCCACGCCCAGCAGCTCCGTGAGAGCCCAAAGATCCTGATTTGAGGATCTAGTTACCCACCATGCAGCCCAAGCAGAAAGTTGCCCTGTTTTAAGTCATGATTCAATAAGTAAACTGTTTTTAAAGGGTGATCGGGCAGTGCAATTTTGTTAAAAAGGCAAAAAATAGGAATCCCAGTAAGTCTAGACTTTCAAAGCTCAAAAAGAATACCCTGCAGTTTATTTGGCAGAACCCAGAATTCATCCAAATGAAGGCTGTTATAATCCTGATAAGAAAATTAATCATATATTTAGAGGTAGGAAATATTCAGGTTTTATGAAATCATTTTACTCAGATGCTCTGGGAAAGACAAATAAACATGAACTGAGTTTTATCTGACCAGAGGCCAAAAATAGAAGAAATGAGAAACCTGTTTCCTTCCAGATAGGATGGCTCTCAATGAGCAAATAGTGTACAAAGTGGTAACTGTGCGGCAGCACAACGTTTTATTCCAGTAACGCTGCCTCCAGCGCCCCGTCAGGATCCCTCATTGCCTTGACTCCTGTTTCTGACCTTGTTCTGCAGACGCTCCAGCCCACTTGTCCTTGCCCTCGGTTGCAGGTGTGTGTTTGCACACAGCCCTTCATGCTGCTTCTCTTGCCCCAGGACCTAGTTCCCCTAAAACAAGGACTTTGATTTGATCGCCTGCCTGTCCTTGGTCTGCAAAGTAACAGGCCAGTGGGAGTGGCTGTCCTCCTCAGCACGTGCTCATGATACTGTGTTGTCCTCCCATCCGTGCGTCTGTCTCTCTCCATCCTGTTGTGTTGTACCTGCTGGGATTCCCCATCGTTATCAGGGGCTAGAGAGGGACTCTGTCGAATGGCAGAGAATCTATGACCAGGTCTTGTGTGGGCTCTGTGTGGTACAAATTTTGCTTCTGGCAAGGACAACAGGCTTCAGTTGTTTTTTAATTATTTGCCATTGGGTTAACATCAGTGTGTGCAGTTCATGGAAAATGAAGAATGTGTCTACCAGAAAGGATGAACCAGGAGGATGTTTAAACCAAAAACCATGATAAAACAAAAATACGTTCTTTCTGATTTTGGGGATGCTACTGGTGCAGGACTATTGAACAATCACAACAATGGCTGGGAGCTAGTATTTACTTCTCATCTCAAATACAAAGAGAAAATCTTCTAATATACACAGAGTGTCCCCTTTCAGACCATTCTCCCTCCACAGACAGTGTGATGCCGCCTGTCCTACTGAGTAATTCTCAAAGCAGGTCGTCAACAAACAGCTACCTGGACAGAGGCAACTTCTAAAACAGTTGGCCTCAGCTTCTCTATCAAAGAGCCAACTCTTTTCCATGGGCAAAGGAGCCAAGAAGAGGGTAGATGGAATCCACAGTTAGTTCCCAACTCATCTTGGTGTAAATTTTGCCCTCTTCCCTGCCAGAGGCCTTTCACCTCCCCCTTTCGTAAAGTCTTGGTTAGTAAGCAAGTAGCTAAATTGAACTGAGTTTGATCTCCTTTTCCTTCCTTTATGCATTCATGAATGGAGGGGTGGGAAAATAGTACAGTACAGTAAAGCTACGAGCCGAAATTGTCCAGATCAGAAGTGAGGAGAGTGGGTGATTCGCTAACTGGGCTCACTTGTGTATTATTTGAGGCTTCTCCAAGCATGTTTTGCATATTCATATTTAAACTAAGATGAAAATCTTTTTGCACATATGTCCACCCAAGAATCTGTATCTGGTTTTGTGTTTTAAAATGTATGTTTCCTTTTTTTAAATGGCAATAAGCCTTCCAAATGGCTTATCCATATAGTGCTTAAAATTATGATGGTCTGATATAACCAGCCACAAATGTCTAATGAATAGTGTTTATGGAAGTATTTATTTTTAAAGGAGAGGAAAGAGAAGATGTTTTGGGCATATTATTATTGTGGCTTGTCACTTTAATTTGCATTGTGAAATGACTTTTAATCCATATCATTGGAATATACAAAGGTATATGTAGTTAAGTACATACCTAAGCACATACAACCTCACACACTTGTGACCATATTAACACAAGCATACATATGAGTGCCCCTAACTGTGCATGTTCACAGTCATCTACCCTGGTTCTAGATACCTTATACTTGAGTTCTCATTACCAGTTTGCAGCTTACAATGCTATGCTTCAGCTACACCTAGGAGGCTTACCTCAGTAAACAGACTTCAGGTCTATGTTAACACATCCCTCACTTTTGCTCTGTTTTTATTCAGTATAAAACTTGTCAGAGTGGCTTGAAAATAGCCATGGTTCACTTATGGTGCTCTGCTTCTGATCCTCCATTTCAGAGCCACCTTCATAGCGACCACAAAAAATGTTCATGCTCCTGTTTATGGTGGGTCCTCTTTCATTTTCACATATTTTCTCAGTCATCTCACCATTCCTTAGGTCCCCATCAGGTGAGAACCTTGGAGAGCAATTAAGTTTAAAGTACTTAGTAGTACACACTAACTTTACTGACAGACCATTTGCAAAGCCTTTCCTTGGTGGACCTTGCCACGCCTGTCATTCTGTCCCAGCCTTCGCATCCAAGTGCCTTTCTTGGGAACCAGATTAAATGGGATGAAATGACCGATCCATTTGGCCTTTTCAAAGAAAAGCCCTATTCTTCATGGATAAAAGCATTTTATCCAACTTAACCTTCTTCCAACCTGTTTTTGCTGTCCAAGTTTTTAGATATAATCAACTCCCAGCAGCTGAATTACCAGTGTTATCTTTGATATGACTACTTAATATAGAATAACATTAGATAACTCATAGGAACAACTCTGAGAGGTTGAAATCTTTTTTTGATGGTCCTTCAAATTCTACTGGGGAATCAGTTACCTATTCTGCCCTGGGTTTTGGCAAATACAACAGAATTTCCCAGGTTTTATTTTAAATATTCTCAATGCATTTGTATTTGTTAGAATTTTTATCCCTATTTTTTGTTCCAGAGAATGGTTGTACCATGGAGGGAAGCTAGAGAGGCCCTGACTAGTCCTCTCTTTGGCATCAACACCCCTTTTACTTGTGCCTCTTCTGCTACCTCCCTCCCCACCCCAGGCACGGGAGGCCAGCCCTCACTGTCTCCCAAACACATGGCATCGGCTGAAGTAAGCAGAAACCCTCAGAAAGCAAATCTGCCCTGAGGTCAAGTCTAGAAACACAGCCAGCCACTGTGGAGTGTGGGCAGGCAGAGTGTGAGGGGGTGGCTGAAAGGTCACTGGCTGGAGCCACAAGCCACACAAGGACTCTAGTCCTGAAGCACTGCCCAGTCAGTCTTTCAGGAGCATGAAGTGCATGCCGCTTCTGTGTTTCAGAAGGGGGAAATGGCAAAAGGAGGAAAGAGGTAGAAGATAACTCACCTGACCTGGACAGCAACAGGGGCATGTCCCAGTCAGGAAGGGAGGCAGGGGCACCAGTGACTGTCAGTTAAATCCCACCTGTGTGTCTAGAAGCCATGTTGCAAAGACTGCAAATCACGCACGGGAAGGCTCTCCTACACAGTGATACATGGGAGGCCTGAGAGCCCTGGGCCCCTGAGTAGGCAGGGCACCATGGACGTGTAGTGTTTCAACCATCCCATACACATCAGGGGAATTCGGAGACATTCTTTATAGTGGAGCTTCTGTCTGCAGCCCCTATCTGTCAGACCACTGTGTTCCGCCCAGCTCTTAGGCCACGATGCTCACCTAGAACCGTACACCTTGGGTGTAAGTGGAGTGGCAAGTGGCTGTTTCCTCCTCCTAGAATTTCCTCCCACCTACATGGGAGCTTGACTTCCTGGAGGGCTTAGCCCATGACAGGCCATCTGTATCCACCGATTTGCAGCCTGACAAAAATGGAACCAGCAGCGCTTACCAGCTGTCTTAGGCTCTGCTCGAATTATTTTACAGCTTCCTCTCACCTCCCAGAAAAGCAACACTGATGTTTCTTTGCATTCACACAAAGATTGGCAGGTGAGGATGAAATAAGACCAAAGAGGAAACGAGAAATTACTTCCCAGCCCTTGAGCAGCCATAGGAATAACAAGGATAGAGAAGACAAGAAGCAGTGAGGTGCATGTGATTAGTTGTTGTCTGAGGGACTGTTTAATTAGAGGACAAACTCTTTCCAAGCTCTTAGCACTGACTTTCATGACCAAAAAAGAAAAAAGAAAAAAAAAAAAAAGAATAAACTCCTTCATAAGAAGAAATTTAAAGCAGAGTGAGCAGAACCTCTGCTGGCCACTCCTTTTTAGCCTTGTTTACATTCCAGATCTGCTTGATTTCCTTTTCAGTAGGCTTGTTCCATTCTCATTTCTTTGGGGCTGTCCTGGCCACTCCACCCACCCCAGGCCTGTCTGTACTTGGTGATATCACCCAGGGCCCCCAGTTCTGTCTCCACAGCCTTCAGAAAGAATACCAGACCTGAGGCACTATGAGATTCCTCTGCTGTAAAGCGATGGTCCGATTCATATCTTCCATGTAGTTCTTTTATTGACGATACAAAGTTGAAAAAATAACCAATTCGTGTAGAGTAAGGAGAACATTTCCGGGGTGGCAGGGAAAACCTCTGACGGGAGTGTCAAGGTGATGCTGGCTTTGGATCTCTCTCTATAATTTCTAAGCATCCTCATCTTAGTTCTCCTTTCTCACTGGACTTCTTACCAACTTTTTTCACAGTCATCTTTGCTGATTCATAGCCTTAATCAATATCCCTAATTCCTTTAAGGTGTACATTGTTTTCAGTGAGTTCTTCCCAGAAATAGATCCTTAAAAAAAATTTTTTTTAGGTATTAATCATAAAAGAAACTAAAGGCAGTTATGATGTCACCTCTTCCATTTCCTAAGTTCATATGAAAGTTAACACTCTATAAAGTCCTGCTTGTTTTGACTCAGTATTCGGGGAAAATATGGCACAGTCAGCAACCATAATAGAGCAAAAGAGCAGCCAGGATACAAGGAGAAAAAAAATGAAAAAAGTGTGCTGGCCAACCTCCAGTTCCCATCAGTGACTAGCCAAGACCCAGCCTGCGGACGCAGGGCCACTTCAGTTGACTGAAAAAAGCGACACAGAAGCTCTTTTCCTTGGCAGAAGCCCCAGTTACATGGTCATTGACTCATATTCGTGTGTGCCTATGTCTGTCTGTCCGTCTGTGTGCTGCTAAAAACAAACCGCCCCATTCCATGTCTCGCCTCTCATACTGGAATAAGCAACTTCCATTTCTGCAGTTAGGGGAGGGTGCACACTCTTTCCTGTGCCTTCATTATCAACCAAGCCATTCCTATGCTCCTATTCCTGGCCACTTTCTCCTGCAGTTCAGGGAAGTCAGTTAACGGAACTGCCAACCCACTAGTTTACTGAGTACAGAGCTTGTCTTCTGTGCCGCTTTCTTACCAGACAGCTTACAGGAGAAACGTTGTATTTCTTCCTTTCCTCCTCAACCTCCTGGTCCTCAAAGAGCACAGTAAATGGATTTAAGTGTACAGATGTTTCAGGTCCCTGTCAGAAGCAATATTTTACCTGCTTCTAAGCTCTAAGAAGTAGAGGTTTTATTTCAAAAAGATAACCCCAGTACTTGCCAATAGCACCCTGCATGGAATTAAGATGTGCTGTGTCACTGCAGCACTCAGTGAACGTTGATCACCGGCCTAGGCAGAGAGGGGCATCATTGCTCAGGGTTTTTTTTTTCATTTCCTGTTGCTGTTTGTTTGTGTTTTTACCGTTATTGTGAGCTATGACTTCATAGTTTCATTTTAATTTCATGTTGGTTTCGTTGGTGTGCTAGCTGCATGCACTTACTGTTGTACTTGTGTCAAATGATTCTCTACCTTCCTTTGGAAAGCACTAATGAAAAGTGCTATTTCTCTTCTCTATTGTTGGGTTTTTTGTAAAGTTGCTCAAATGCTCTCAGGTATGGCGGCTCTGAATGGAGGACTTGGCGCCACGGGCTTGACGAATGGCACAGCGGGCACCATGGACGCCCTCACCCAGGCCTACTCAGGGATTCAGCAGTACGCAGCCGCGGCACTGCCCACTCTGTACAGCCAGAGCTTGCTGCAGCAGCAGAGCGCAGCGGGCAGCCAGAAGGAAGGTACGTGTCGCCCTCGGCCCAGGGCTTGGCCTGGTGTGGCCAGCCCAGTGGGCAGCATTCACCTTCACAGCATGTTTGCAAAGACACTAGACTGAGCCAGTATCATAGAGAAAGCAATTGTTTTATTTCAGCTATTTGTGTCTTTTTTTTTTCCCCAAGAAACCTGATAAGCCTAAACCATTTGTTTTGATCTTCATGTTCAGTCTTATATTTCTTTTATCTTTTGATTTAACTTCTCATCTACTTCTTAAGATGGATTTCTCACCCACTGTGTGTTTATACATAATTACTTAGTAGTTGCTGCCATCAAAAATTGCCAGGAACCCCCTCTCCCAAATCCCCCTTACACGAGACTCTCCCTCAGTGGGCCGGGTGAAGCGTGCCAGTCCTGTGGACCGAGTACTGACCAGCCGGTCCCAGATTCTCAGCCACACATGCTCTATAGGTGGTGGTTTCGGGTTAACGATAAATCCACTATGGGATTGACTCTGTCTTTAATTGGGAATCTTCTGGGAAAGCAAATAAGTGATTGATTACCTTGCTTCCCTGCCAATAAAGCAAAATGAATACCAAGAAGTTAAAGTTCAGAATAAATTTAGGCTAATTATAAAATAGTTAATGAGCTGGTTGAAAAATAGTAAGAGCTTGTCTCTTTTTCTTCCTTCCTTTTGGTTTCTTCTTCCATAATTGAAGTTGCTTTAAAAGCAGAATCTTCAACATTTCATTTATTCACTTTCTGACTTGTTAAGAATCCTATAAAATAAAACCCTAATATGCAAATCAACAAAACAGCAGAAGGACCAGAATGACTGGTTGCTATGATGCGCACTGGCCACCAGGGGGCAGACGCTCGACACAGGAGCTTCCCCCTGGTGGTCAGTGTGTTCCCACAGGGGAACTTCAGCTCAGTCAGAAACTGGGCTCACAGCTGGCGGTGGCTGGAGTCTCTCTCGCCTCTGCAGCAGTGCTAAGGAGCTGTGAACCAAGCGGTAAGGAGCAAGAGCAGGCAGGCGGTAATGAGTGAGGGTTCCTGGACTGTGAGAACGCGCAGGCCAGGCTGAGGGACCCCCTCCTCTAGTGCACCAATTTCGTGTACCAGGCCTCTAGTATAGAATAAGAAGCTAGAATAGGAAAATATTGTTGAAGTTTTTAAAGTTTCTTTCCCTTCTCCCTTACCCTCACCCCATAATTCCAAACTGGTTTTGTCTTAATTACTTCAACTTTAACCATGGCATTCTATTATAAAGAAATAGACTAGTTTTACTTTACAAAGTTATGAATTTTAAAGGGGACACAGCTTTAAAGATACTCATGTAAAAAAAAAAAAGTGGAAAGTTCTGTTTATTATAAATAACAGATTGTTTAAAATAAAAGATTTGTGAAAATCTAAGTTACTTTTCATTATTTCAACTTTCTCTTAACTCCTAGTTGTGGCTGTTGTAGATTTTTTTAACACACACACAGCTGTTCAGACAACTATTTCCCTAGGTGTATGGAGATGCTATGTCATAAATACACAACCTCACAGAGAAAAGCTTGTTTTGAGGTCCCTTGTCTGGATTCTGACTACAATGGTGACAAATAAGGGCAGCAGGAGGTCATATAAGATAATGACTTCCTCAGAAGAGACAGTGAAAGCCAGTCCCCCCACTGGCGTTGCAGTTACCCCTCCATTACCCAGCAGTGTCTCTCAGTAAATTGTAGAGCCTACGTTGATGGGGAAATGTCACCAAAAGACTCAAAACTTCGTGGGTTAGGGATAAAGTCTGGGCCTTGAAATAACATCTCCTCCACTGATTTACCCCAGCCCTGCCCTAAATTTAGTCCCTACCTTGAGTTGTCAGGATTGCTTGTACAGGAACAAACCCTCTGGGATTAATGTAAAATAGTTTAAAATTATGATTGCCAAATGCAGATTACATATATTTAGGTATTTAGGCTACCAGTAGCATGGTGTAGGGTTTTTTATTTTTTGTTGTTGTCTATGGTGTTTTCTGTACAGTTATTTTTAATCACATCTCATCTTTTCATACGTTCTAATCATCCTCTGCTAGCTAACGTGAGCTCAAGAAATATAAACCATTTTAATATTAGTTTAATTAAATATAATGAAAAGGCAAGTTATAATGAGAAGTAAAAAAATATCATTATGTAGAGATTTAGATTTGCTACTACATGGTTCTGTCCTTTTTTCGGGAGAGTTGAAAGTCAGCTTGATGTTTAGTAGTGTATGCCCTGGTGCATGTTGGCCCACGGGAACACATGTACAGCATATGTACAGCATATGGTTTAAAATCTTCCGAAGTGTTATGGCATCCCTCTCGATCTAAATCCAGCAAAGCTGACCACTTTTCCCACCTAAATACCCTCTCCCTCTGGCCTCTTTCACACCTTCCCAAGCTTGTAGGAGGCAAATCACACACACGCGCGCACACACACACACACGCGCGCACACACACACACACACGAGTGGAAAGAGCTTCTAACACCCAACAGCAAGCCAGTGGTCTGATAGAAACCCCCAGTACTTTATATAAGTGCTCTGTGAGAACCACAAACATGAATAACAATCAGCTGAGAGCATTGTATAACACAGAGATCTCTAACAAGTTAAAATAACGAGTTCTAGGAGAAATATGAGGAATGTGGGATTTGTCAGCTGGCTTTACTAAGGGAGAAGTGAAAAAGTGGTGAAACACTCAAAAAAAATCGCTTGTTATTTACCATTAGTGTCTATGGCAGTAGCCACCTTTCTTGCGCACAAGAGAGGTTTTCCTTTTAGTCACTTTTTTTTTTTTTTTTCAATTTTAGTGTTAACAATATTGGTGGGGAGAAATGGGGAGGGGTGTCTATGGTGGCACTTTTGAGAAAGTGATGACTAAGAGGACAAGCCTCCTTGGGTTGACCTGTCTTCATTTTTTTCTTGGGCCCCTATCTGGCAGGAAGGCACACATTGAGACTATAGTGCAGTCTTGCATGCCAGGGTTGTCCAGGCATAGACAGTAAATTTGCACTTTTCTCTCCAAGCTTCAGGAAGTGAGATGACCTCACAATTCAGATTAGGTACCATTAATCCTCATTTGTGAGTTTGGGTCTTCTGTTGGAAAGGAACATTCCGATTTGCCCACCTGTACACTGCAAAGGATGGCTGTGGCATAATACATTCAGAGCATCCTTTTCCAGTGTTTTGGTTTTATATCTATTTACAGTTTGCATTTTTAGGAGTTTTCTTAACCCAGGAAACATTTGGGGATCAAAGCCTGCAACTGTGTCCCTTTAAACCCAGACTGCCTCCTTTGCACTTGATGGGATATGTCCCTGGAAATGTGAGTGAGGTAGCACGGTAAACTGGTCACACTGACACTTACGGAAGGAAGAAGTTCTTGTGTCCAGCTTCAGAAATTTGCTTCAAGAAGTTTTCCAATAAAAACCCATTTGTTAGAATACCTTCTTTATGAATTTTTTTGTAGGAAGAAACTGGTTTAACTTTTCTTTGCAAAGATATTCATTCCTTTTATTTGTACAAAGTTCTTTTACCAGTTATATTTCTTAGACTCATTCCCATGGACTCCCTCCTCCACTGCAGCTTATGCCCTGGGCTTCTCAGTGGGGCCAGCAGTCCTGGGTCCGCTCCTGGGAATGCCAGTTAGGGTTCCATGAACCAACTGCAGAGGTTACTTCACCAATTTTATGAACTCCCTTCCCTCCCAGACACTATGACCAGAGGCATCCCACTTGGGGCCTCCCCAGACCCTCTGGGAATGAATGTGCATCCTCTGAGTTGGAAAGCATTCTTGCCTGTTATATATTAGAAGATAATCACCTTCCATCAGATCATTTGGATTCTCTCTTTTCTCCTTTTTTTTCTTTTAACCTTCAGATAGTTTTTGTGTAGGCAGCTAGAGAGGTGGGAGAATGAAATGGAAAGAACTTGGGAGAGCTTACCTCTCCAGCCAGTACAGCTCACATCTTCCTCACAATGCCCTTGATTCTTAAATTTCTAGGAAGTGATAGTTGAGAGTGAAGGGCCTGGCTTAGCTTAGTCTTTGACTCACTGCTGCAATTCATGCATTCATTTCCAAGGCTGATTCCCAATGCTATAATTCCTATCACAGTTGTGAAACTCTAGCTACCTATTTTTCCCTGCCTTGACTCATTGCCAGTCATTTCTAATAAAGATGATTATTAGACTGTGTGTTAAGAGATTTGGCAAATCAAAACTGGATGGATAATTAGGTAAATGATTGAGAAATCCAAGCAGCATTACTGCTATATCCATTATTCTCAATTGCTGCAATTTGCTTAGAATGCACAGGACACTCTCTCCCCTGAGAGGCACAATATACATAAAGCCAACACGGCTACCCAGGCAAAACCCGCGCCTGCCTTCTCCTCCCCCACTCCACCCATGTCTGCCACCTTCACATTGAAATATTGCTCATGTGCAGTAAGCACATGTGACCCACAGAAGATTACCAGTGAAAAAGAAGCTATTTGGTAATCAACACTTCTGAGGAAATGATGAAAAGCTGGAGGATGTCTGCTTTCCTAAAAGGCACATCAGCACGTGCTATTTGACCCATCCATTCCATTCTTCAGTAAGGGAAAGCGAATGCTTAGCCTGCCTGTTATGGAGGCACTCCTGAGAGGAGGCTGTGGGAACTAAGAAGCGAAGAATACCTTACTCTGATTTTTGTTTCCTCTTTAGGTCCAGAGGGTGCAAACCTCTTTATTTACCACCTTCCACAGGAGTTTGGAGACCAGGACATTCTGCAGATGTTCATGCCTTTTGGAAATGTTATCTCTGCTAAAGTCTTCATTGACAAACAGACCAATCTGAGCAAGTGCTTTGGTATGCAAAAGAAGCCAAGCTAGACTATTACAGCACAGCCCCAAGTGAGGAGTCATGGGAAGGAAGGTGTAAATGGCAAATATTGTAGCAGTCAGGACAGGGCCTTGTGGTGGTGGTTTCTGGATCTCTGGATCCATGTAAAGCAGAGTTGGAAAAGTTGGTTCATAAGAGAGAGAGAGAGAGAGAGAGAGAGAGAGAGAGAGAGAGAGAGAGAGAGAGAGAGAGAGAGAGAGAGAGAGAGCGAGAGAGAGAGAGAGAGCGCGCGCGCGCGCGAGAGCGCGCTGTAGAATAAGGATCTAGTAAATTAAACCAAATACCCATACCATAGGTCATGTTGTATACTATACTATGGATGTATCTTGCTACATATGTCTACTGGTTGGTCATTGTAGAGCAACAGCAGTTTCTTTAAACCTCAAATACTGAACCACAAACTCTGCCCAGTGGGAATATGTCAGTGACTTGCAGTTTATGCTGTCCTGGTACAGAATGGCACCATGGCCACTTTACTAGTAGTTTCTTACCCTGCTGGGTGCAGTGTAACTGAGCCACTGTGGTTGCAGGTGACACTGTACTGGGGCCTACTCAGTGCACTGCACACAAGTACACACCTCGTCCCAGGAGGCGAGTGCTCCAGCCGCCCGCCACATGCGGCTCCAGGAGCACAGGGGTGGCTTGTGGTCACGGAAAGCACCGTGTTGTGCTGGGATTCTGGAGCCAGAAGCCGGGATGCCGGGATCTGCAGGCACTGCCTGGGGGGTGCAGAGCATGAAGGTGCGGGCATTGGGCATTGAGGACATGGGGAGACTCAGCTCCTGGGCAGCTGGCTGTCATGTCCTCCTTCCACAGGCAGCCTGCTTTGCCTCCCCAGGCGGTTTTTACCCCGAGAGAGGAAGGCACTAATGTTTTACACCAGAAGGAGAGCACTCATTACATTATTGCTTGTTTTCTTTTTTTCAAATCCTTGTAGTCCCCAGAGTAGTTAGAGGCCAGAATGTTCAAAGTCTGTATTACTCACGTGAGAAGTTCTAGCCCAGTTTGAGGAAGAACATTAGCTTGAGTCACCTCTCCAATTGACTAATTCATGCTGGAAGTAGGTATTAACAGGAACATAAAATAACGTAGAATACCTTTGGGCCAGAGAAAATACAAATAAAATGGTATAGTAAAAAGAAAAACTTCAAAGGTCAGGGGTTCTCAGACAGCCAGAACTCAAACTTAGTATCTGGCTAACTAATAATGGGCAACCAGAATGCTTTGGCTTCTAAATCCCCATTATCATAACATCTTTCTCATCTCTGTGCTACTGCCCAGAAAGATCTGAAGCTTTGGTGTTAGGGGAATTAGTATGTCAACCACTTAAGTCAGTTTTTACCCAAGTGGAGGCTGTCAGCCTGAACCCATTAGCACCACTGCTGCCGTGCAAGTGTGTGAACCCTGCAGTGGTTCAGGAGGCCGCGGAATGGAAGTGAGTTGTTACAAAGGCTGAGTTTCAGAGTGAGCTTACCTCTGGGAGCTTCCCTGCACAGGTCTGAGCCAGACTTTTAGATTCCTCCTCGCCAAACAATATCCTGGGTTTGTCTGGAGATTGGAAAGGGATGGAGTTTCGTGGTTTGATTTTGAGAAAATACTTACTGCTTTTAAAAGAGCTTATATCACAGCCCACAGCTACTTAGTGTTCATAATAATGCAAGTTATAGCTATAAGTATCAGTAGACAATTGTATTAGTATAATGGACAATTGTGTTAGTATAATAGTTTTCAATTTTTATTAAAAGACATGGCATCCCATATCGAGGTTTCTCAGTGGGTCAGTTTTATTTCTTGAGGAACCAGGTTTGCTAGTCATAAGGTAGGACCCTATTTTTCATTCTAACCTCTTGGCCACGTTTTATTACCCATTTCACCCTTGACCCATTCCCATTCTTTAATCATCTTGCTACTTCTGGGTGAAAACTCAAGGAGAAAGTCTGAGCAATTGTCTTAGATTCAAGATTACATTTATTGGGAATTTGATTTCAAAAAGTGTAAAGCACCATTTTACAATATAGTCTGCCTATGAAAAACCTACTCATGTTTGTCAGCTAAGAACTCTGCTCAAGATATATTTATGTCTTTTTCTTCCTCCTCTAGTCTGTGAAGGAATTTTCTCTTCAACTTTGAACTTTAATAGTAGGTATATAGAGAAGCTTAATGTAGAACCGTCTGAACAGCTGATGTTCAGAACAGAAATGCAATTAGTATGAGAGCTTCCTTTCACTACCAAAAGTAAGTAGGGACTATACAGGCTCACCACTTTTGCATAGGCATTAACTAAAGAAACCTTTGAGGCACTGCCACGCCTGCCCTCTCCCACCCCCTGGTGCTAGGACAAACGGTATGATCAGAATTGTCTCTTAATTTTCACAGAGCATCATCAGTTTTTCAAAAGCATGCCCTTCCTCTTATTTTGGCGGTGAGTGTTGAAACAGAGGATATTGGGAACTCTGTTAGGATAGTTGTTAAGCCCTGAGCTGTTTAGACTATTTATTCTCCGAGACGCCTGGGAATACAAGGGCAGCAATTTCCATTCTGTTGAATTCAGTGGAGCTTTGAAAATGGAAGTTAAGACAAGAAGAAAGGCCCAGCATTTCCCCTGGTTGCCTAGGTGCCTCTCAGTAATAATCCCACAATGTTGAAAATCGAGTATAAGTTATTCTAGGGTTAATTCACTAAACCCATCCAATAGCCAAAAAAGTTTAAGCCCTGTGACATGGATGAACTAGAATGAAAGCTGGCCATGATGTCTGGCAGCACACCCTGTTAGCGGCCTTTCCATAAATTATCCTTCCTTTTAGGCTTACCTGGTTGGGCCCTATGCGCCCACCTCTTATCTGAGCAGCACTTACTCACGTTCCTGGGGTTCTTGCAGAAGGATTCCAAGGGACTTTAAACACAAGTGGTTTTGTGAAATCAGTAAGCAAAGAGACTAAATTTACTCAAACATCTGAGTTGGAGATTAGCTTTCTGCAGAGGGGTTTTCTCATCAAACCCAATTACCCATCCAGCTCCATTTTTCCACTGCTTTTCAGTGGCAGTTTCCAATGTTGCCTTTAAAACATGCCCTGCTCACCATGGGATCCGCCCATGTAACTCACCAATGGCGGTGACACTGTCCAGGGGGCCCTGACCCCCTTCTCTAAGCACCACCTCTCCATCTTGATTTCTGCCTTCCTTCCCCTTCTGTTTTCCAGGTTTTGTTAGCTACGACAATCCGGTGTCTGCGCAAGCTGCTATCCAGGCTATGAATGGCTTTCAGATTGGCATGAAACGCTTGAAGGTCCAGCTGAAGCGCTCCAAAAATGACAGCAAACCTTACTGATCCTAACCCCAGAGGCTCCCTGCTCTTATTTTAGCTTTCTTAGGGTAAGTCCCACGAGCCAGCCTGTTCTCACAGGAAAGGCGGAGGAGGACCACATTGCCAACTTTTACCAAGAGAGATGGTTATTTTTACAATAAGGCCTCCATCTCCCCCTCCCACCCCGACCCCATTCGCCATATTTAAACTTGGGTTACCTTGTTTCTCTGAGTAAACTCCTCCAGTTGTGCCACCGTATTCTCCTTTGTTTTGCAATTTGAATCTCCTCTTTTTTTATTTTTTTAGATTTTGGGGTTTGTTTGTTTTTTTGTTGTCGTTGTTTCGCTTTTTCGAAGGAAAACATACATACACAAATAAATCACATCTCGATCATTTAAAAGGCAAACAAAGGCTGATGTGCAGTTCTAACTCGGAGACCCCCTGGTGCCCTGAGAGCACTGCCTGGAGCACCCACCCCCTCTGCCCCGTTATCCCTGGGAGGGCACCAGCTGTTTAGAGGTCAAGGTGGTGGCCTAGAGCAAGAGAAAAGCCAGGAGAAGCACTTAAAACAATACAAACGTCTTTCCACTACATTTGGTTTGTTTTAATAAGTAGGAATTTATTTTAGGGTTCAAAGAAATATGACATTTATTGGTCAGGTTATTACACTGGTTGTCTATTTTGTTATTGTTTTATTTTCGTTTTAGAAAGGATTAATGTAAAAAAGATTTAGAGATCTGTTTCTTAAAGCTACAGGGTTTAAAAACAAAATAACAATGAATGAAAATACTTGATGTTTCTTGAAAGATAAATTTAATAAATAATACATAAATAATACATAAATAAAAAAGAAAGCCACAGGCCTGTAAATTTTATTTGTAAAAAAAGCATTTCTATTTTTGTACAAAATTTTTACTGCCTCAGAAATAATGGAAGTTATTTATTGCCTATTGTTAACTTATTGGGTACCTAAAGAGCAGTTCTCTGTGCTAGTTAGATCCTTTTGAAGTAGTCTCTAAAGGAATCGTTCTAGGAATGGGCTTTTTTTCACCGTTGAACCCTAGGCCTAAAGTTCATGCTTTATCCTCTTGTTGTTTGTATCTGTCTGATTATTTTGTTTGTAACTTCCATTATCTAGTTTACAGTTCAGTTGTCTGACTTTCCCCTTATGTTACATTTGTTGAAACTGGATCCTCCCCGTCCCTTGCCAGCCCCTCACCCCAAAATACTCAGAATCCATCCCCTCTCCCTCTCCAGATGGATTCTCTTGGGGTTCCATTGTGCTGTGATAAAGATTGTAAGAAATGCAAATTATGTGAATGGCTAGTAGACTCTCTAATGACCTAAGATTTGCATTAGTTTTTCTCCTGCACCCTTAGAGTGATTTTGTTGCTGCTGCGTAGACTCTGTGTAACTTTTTCCTCTCCCTTGTTTTCTCCCTAGACATCTTCATGCCTGTTAGTTCACCGTTTGCCTAGCATGTCCCTGTGGCGTCTCAAAAAAAAGTTTCATCGTCCCGTCATTGTTTCTGATGTCTTTCTGACCTCACATCATATTTGGTTCTCCTACTGACCTTTGATCTAGTTTGACCTTTGAAATTTGCATGTGACCTCATCTAGCTATGAATTCTGGGAAGTCAATGTGAAAAACATTGCTGCATTCATGCAAGACTGAAATTTATTATTAGAAAAAAATAATTATAGAAAAAAACCTGTGGCAAAATGTTTTTCTTATTTTTCTTTTCTTTTCATAAAACAGACTTGAAAGTATTATACAGGGATTGGCATTCTTCCCGGTCACTGGTAACAATAGCAATATGTGTCCAGGGACACAGAATGTTGGTTTCTAACAGACTACTTCCAAAAACAGTTTGAGAAAAAAAACTGTCTGATTTTAAGTCTCTAGAGGTCTGTAATAGTTTTTACATTTTTCAGGCAGTGTAAAGTTTTTTGATAAGGCCATTTTAGGTGGCTCACTTTCTCATTAAGATATATATATAGAACCACTTTTTGTAGATTAGTATAAGAAAAATATTTACCCTGTTTTGGGGCAAATGCTACCTATTTGTGTCACCTTTTGCTGAACTGACTCACAGTTAGACAATCCATGGTTTAATGCACATGAAATTACCTATATTTTATACTGTTTCAATGTACAGGAGAAAGGTTACTGTAAACTGTGTTGCGTTGGTGCTTCTGTGAATTAAGTTGTGGTTTCATCATGAGTCTTACGGTCTTAATGTTCTTTGTTGATAAGACAAGTTTAGAACTGATTTACTTAAAAAAGAATTTCAAAAAAAAAAAAAAGTTGTTTGCTTAAAAAAAACAATTTCATGTGAGGGGGGGGAAAAAACTATTCCAGAATAAGTTTGTGTTGGCTTGTAAAGCATTGATGTCATTTTTATTATTATTATTGTGGACTATTTAGATGTGTTTGTGTTCAGCAAAATGTGATTTTTTTTTCTTTTAAAGAAAAAAGTGAAAATATATAGTGCCAAATTCCAAAGGTACTTCCTTCCTAGAGCTTCAGTGTGTTTCTTGTGAGAAGTAATTTGATAACATGGGTATTTTATTATGTGTTTTGTATAAATCCCTAATATTTAAAAAACAAAAAACAGGAAAAAAAAAAAAGAGGTTAAAAAGTTTGTTAACTTGCTATCCTGTGGTCTTGTTGCCTGAAATTGTTAATGTTTGTTATTTCTCTATGATGTTTTTTGTAAGACATTGTATAAGTGCCCATGTCTCACTTTTTTAACCACTCTGCACATCAATGCTGTGATGGCAACCTCACAATGTATTTTCTTCATAATATATGGAAACCTCTAAGGTGAGAAAGTTTTGAACTTTTAACCCTTTCTACCCAGAGCTATCTGGAATGTTGATAACTTTTATACTGTCATTTAGTTTGTTTTGGGGTGATTCTAATTTGGATTTTTTCCCCCCCTACATTTATCTTCTCTGAGTTGTTTTGTTTTTACTACTTTTTTATCCTTTGGTTGAGATCCAAAAGAAAAAAAACTCCAAAAGGCAAATCTGCAGGAAAAATATATATGTATTTTTAACCCTCTCTCCTTTTTTCCCTTCACCATTTTTTTTTTTTTAATCTGATTGTTTCTGGTCATTTTTTTAAGAAGAATTCTTATGTGCTGCTAGAATTCCTTCTGCTTAAACACAGTTTATTAGGTAATCGTGAGAGGGATGGTGGGTAGATTCAGCACCTAACTAACCCTTCAGTTCTGTATGCTATTGAGATCAGATGTAGTGGGACATCCCAATTAAGAATATTTTCATATACCTTCCAGACAAATGACATGGTAATTGGGTAGTTTTTTTGAGATATTTTTGCTTTTCTTTCCTAAATATTCCTAATTAATATTTCTAATCAGCCATTGTGCTGGGGATTTCTCTGACTGTGGATGCCTCTGAATAGCAAGGTGTCTGGAGTTAGCTGAGAGTCCTTTCCCCTTCACACATGTCTAATTTTTAATTAATTGAATGCATATACTGGCCATTTAAGTAAAACTTAGTTCTTTATTCCAGTTACTAACCAAATACCTACCGTGTTTCCCAGAAAATAAGACATCCTCCGAAAATAAGGCCTAGCGCATCTTTGGGAGCAAAAATTAATATAAGACACTGTCTTATTTTCCAGGAAACAGGGTAGCATCAGTTCCTGCTGCCACTTTTTAAAGTGCCATATTACTTTGACTTTGACTTCACATAAACACATCTCCTTGCTGTCCTGACAAATCCCAATGTTCTCCCAGCAGCCCCAGTCCAAACCCCTGCTTTCCTGAAAGCAGGCCCTGGAAGCTTCTTTGTCTCTAATGGAGTTCCGAAACGGCTGGCTCCCTGTCCTTCCTCACCACCCCACTGGGTTTAGTTTGTGTGTGGATGTGATAGCCCGGGGATGGAAAGGACTAGCCTCTAATGATGCAAAAAAAAAAAAAAAAAAAAAAAAGTTTCCTTCTTAGGGCACGTGCACTTATAATGACATGATTTGTATTATCCTCACGTGTTTACTACTGCTGGGGCCTTCCTTCATCCTTTGAGGGCTATTTTGTACTTCCTGCAGCAATCAGCTGAAATGAGTTATCACACACGCCTCTCTCACGTGTAATATATGGTGGTGTGTAGATACATGCACAGGAACACAAGAGAACACCATCTGAACTTCTTCGATTCGTTCTGAATCTCTTCATTTACCAATCTCTACAGAGATCTCAAAACAGTTTTTTCCCCATTTCTTCATTGAAGCAAACTGCCCTCCCCCTGCCCGCCTCTCTTTTCTCCCACCTGCACCGCCCCCAGAGGAACTGAGTGCAGCTGACAAGAGGTTCAGGGTGGGCACTTAAAGTTGAGTGTTTCTTATTTTGCAGGCAACCAAGACACACGGAGTGGGAAAGTCTATTCTTCCTGGGTTATTGGGGGTATTTTTGGCATGTTTCATTGTTAAGAAGATAACCCTCCTCAGAGACAAGCTGTTCTTTTAGTCACTTTATCTTTTAATAACAAAAGGAAGAAGCTGCAAGGGTGCAAGGGCCTGTGCCAGGAGGAAAACACACAGCGAAACTGCTTTTTTTAAAAAATCAAGTGTAGAGAATAGTCATTTTTAAACTAAATTAGAGAATCATGATCAAATGGCAGTTCTTAAGGCGGAACAAGTTCATCTTTCTTTCACCATAGGGGTTCTAGTTCTTTGGCTTGTGCTACTCTGGACTCATTTTACTGTTGTTTTTATTATTAAGTGCTAATTAACAAGAAGAAATAAAATTTTAAAAAAACCTGTAGTTTCATTACCTTTTTGAATAATGTCATACAAAAAAATGTATTTGTGTTTTTTTGTGCTGTGAGAATTGTTTGTAGATTAATATTTTGTTTAGAATTACAAAATAGTTTTTAAATATTGTCTGAGAAAAGCCAAAGTTAATGCAACCTAGTGGAAACTGTAAGACCATTGAGTATTGTTTGTTTTATTGATGCATTTGGATTTTGTTGTTTGATGGAATTTGAGCCAAAAAAAAAAAAAATGCAGGCTTTCCTATTTCTACAATTGATTGTACTTATTATGCATTTTGTACCAGTGGAACTTTTTATACTGGAGATTAAAAACATGGAAAATTTTGTGGCTTACTCTAGTGGGCCCCAGACAATGACTGATTTCAAGTTTGATTTCTGGTTGATAGAAAGAAAGTTGGTTTTCTTTTGAGAATTAAAAACTTTGGCTTGATTTCTTTTTTCCCTTTGCTTATATCTAGAATTAGAATTTTGTCTTAAAATACAGCGGTAAGTTTCACTTTTTATTCTGTATTGTGCAGTTACACAAATAAGGTAATTAGATTTAGAAGTACTCAGTCACTTTAAGTGGATAAATGTATTAGTTAAAACTTTAGGGGTTTGCTTTTTGCTATTTAGATCAAAGTTTTTTCTGATTCTTCTGTCCTCATTGTGAACATAACCGTGTAGTTGAAACAAACTTATTTTTGTAACGTATGTTATTGTGTGATGCAGTTTTTTGCTTCTGTCTCCAATATTAAACCATTTTCCTAATACTTGTTTCTCTCTCTGCGTGTTGTATTGTTGGTAGTCTTATATGTTGGTGATACATCTACACACCTCACTGTTTCACGTATCTGTTTTTTTCTCTCTGTTGTGTAAAAAGATACAGTCGATTCCACCTAAGTGAATATCTGATTTGGGGGAAGGAGAAACTGCATACCAGCCACCTCTGAGTTATGTCCAATGGCCCATTTTAACCACTGCTTCCAAGATTTACACTTATTTCTGTGATTCACTTACATAACTGCCTACACATTTGCCAAGACCTTTTATGGTATTCTGACCACACTGGGAAATTTCACCTCTTCTGTACTCTTCTGACCTCTCTCCTCTTTTCACTCCTCTCTCCCTCTATCACAGGTGTATGTATGCAGTTCTTTTTGTTGTTGTTTTTCAGGGAGAGGAAAGGAGTAGGAGAGAAATAGAGAAACAATGATGAGAGGGAACCGTTTATTGGCTGCCTCCTGCACACCCCCTACTGGGGATTGAGCCTGCAACCCAGGCATGTGCCCTGACCAGGAATCGAACCGTGACCTCCTAGTTCATAGTCGACGCTCAACCACTGAGCCACGCAGTCCAGGGTGTATGCAGTTTTTAACATTCATTTCAAACTGCTGTTGCTTTGTTGCGTAACCTTAAGAAACTTCAGAAGAGAGGCAGTAGAACTTCTACCTACCCACAGGTCCAAAGGAATAATATTACAGCCATATGCATCTTAGAAACTAATCACATTTTTAAAAGAGCTGCGCTTTCAAGGACAGAAAAAAATAAACTTGGTGAATAGAAGATGTGAAAATAGTTAAGTCTGTGTGTTGTGTCAACTGAGAGAGATTTTTAAAAAAGTAATTTAAATTATGTATTTTTAAGAGTTAATTGAATCCAGGAGCAACTTTAATCATTAAAACTAATAAGGGAAGAAATATATCTCAGTGCTCAAATGCAAGCTCTATCCAGTGGGCGGGGTGGAAGGGGGAGGGGGTCAAGTGCCTCAAGCTTCAGTCTTTATAATCGAGGGCCCATTTCCAAACAAAAAGCCTAGAACCTAGAACGTCCAGTGCACCTGCACACTCCCTGCTGAACGAAGGAATGTTTTTTAAAAAGCTTTGTCCCCTCACTATCACCCCAACCACAGTTATCAGAAAGAGAACTAAAGAACAAACCAGTCCTTGTATGCCCTCTACCTGAAGCCACAGGCCCTCTTCCCTGTTCTGCCCATCTCTCATGCTCAGGAATCTGATTGCTCTCCAAGTGCTCTTAAAAGATTCCATTGATGTGTGCTCCCTGTCTTAGCTCTCCAACTTCTCAGACGCACAAGCTCTGTCTGACTCTGGCCCCCAGCACAAGGCAGCCTTCCTTTTGGCTGCCAATCAGATTCTCCGAGCAGGTGCTCAGGCCTTTCACCTGGTTCCGGAGCCTAGAGCCCTAGATTGTCTTTTCTAGTTGACTCAATACCCGAGGGGCTGGTGATGGTGAAGAAAACAGTCTCTCCTCCATAGGCCAGACCCTCAGTGACTTCCAGCAGCTCCAAACCTGCACAGATGGCAGCTGACTTCCTGCCACTACTTCTGTTGTAAATCTCATCTTAGCCTTCCTCAGTTTGCCTCTGAGAATCCACAGCTTACGTTAGTGGTAAAAAAAAAAAAAAAAAAAAAAAAAAAAAAAAGGCTAAGGTGTGGTGGTTCTTTTTTTTCTCCTTTTTTTGGGGGGAATAGGGTGGGGGTGTGGAGGAGGGGAGAAAGGGAGTTAGATAAAGAGGGTGAGCACGTTTATTTTTTAAATATGTAATTACATATTTTTAAATATGTAATTTATATATATATATATATATATATATATATATATATATATATATATATATATCTGTGCACCATTTAGCCAAGGCAGAATGCTCACGCTAAGTAAAAGAAGGGAAAGCAAAGCCACTTTTCTGTTGTTCTGAAAAAAAAAACAACAAAAACTAATTCTCCAAAAGGGGCAAAAATGCTAGTTTCCTTAAGCACTAATGACTACTGCTTAAATTCATACTTATTTGATCCTGTAAAACACAGCTGCAGTGTTAGCAAGGTGTGCGCATGGCCCATCTTGGGAAATTACAGAACTGTCAACTGTTTCCTTTGCTGGTGGAAGCCACGTGTCTGCCCGGCCCACGACAGTTGTGAGCTGCCCATGGTCTGGGACTCGTAGCTGGCAGGCTAGGAAACACAGTGAATGTGAATGTACTGTGAATCGTTCCTGATAAGTGAATAAAACATTGTGACCAAACAATCAGCTTATTCACTTATCAGGAATCGACTGTTCTGCTGATTCGCTGTTTCTGTTTTTCATCTCTGTTGTAGTTCACTATTTTTGCTGTGTTCTGTTTTCTCCTCTCATGCTTGGGCAAAATCACTGGGAGTATTATCTTCATATGACCATAAAACGTTTCTATCGAGTGAAAATGATATCTTAACAAAATCTATGCACTTGCTATCAGGAACACAATACTGGATGTGTCTTATATATATTGAACTATATATAATAGTACTCGATTTCTTAAATAAAGCTTAAGAAAGGATTCTGTTGTGTGTAATGTTAATGTAATTATTTTTCAAAGCAGTGTTTCTAAGGGGTATTTTTGTCCTTTTGAGTCTTGAGTGATACACGATATTTTTCATTAAAATTATATCACTGGCTTTATGACTTAATATTCAATAAATTGACTTTGGAATCAAAATGGAGTGGGGGGAGTTCTTCCGAGTGCACTTTAGCTAGAGGCATCTGGGAAACCACCCCTTCCAGGTGTCCATGGCAAGTCTCTACCCACGGCGCAGTGGGTGGCAGAACAGAGCGATCCTTCCTCCCAGAGACCTCTGAAAGCATCCAGAATCTGCCCTAACCCAGAAAACCAACTGCCTTTCAGACTATTCTCTCTTTAGGCTCCAAAGAAAGAAAAAAGTAAGACATTTCCGAGAATAATGCTGGTTCGCATCAATGCTTTTCCAAAATGACTGACACTGAAACTAGCCCCTGCTGGGGAGCAATGGCGGGTCTATTCAGGATGCAGGGCGAGGGAAAGCAAGAGAAGATGTTTGATCATGCAGGATAAGAAGGATAAAATTTCAAAGTGATATGAGAGAGACATCCTGAAACAGTTGCAAAGCTTAAATGGGAAGCCTGCTGCTTGGCCCTTTGAAGGAATATTTTTGAAATTTTTCCTACAGGCCATAAGTTGGCACAGAAAGGCATTTTATGTTGGATTTATTTAGCTGTGGGTTTTAATATTAGATTTGTTTTTCTTGCTTAATGTTTGATTCTAAGAAAAAAAATCCTAAACTTCTACTTGGAAAATGGCACAGGCATCCTAATCCTTTACAAAACAAATCTTAGTTATCCCCGATAATGAGGGACAGAGAGAATATGATTAATGGAAATCCACATAAATCTTCCAGTCTCTACCTCTTCGCACCCCAAACTTCCTACTTACAAATTTGTCGACAAAAGCAAAGGCTAGTGAAACTGAGTGATCAGAAAAAGAGCAAAGGGTAGCAAAATCAAAAGGTCTAGAAAGGCTGCATTGCTGGAGCCAGGCGGTTTGAGGTCGGGGAGAGGTTTAAAACAAGTGTAACCTGAAAACCGCTGGTCTACATGGGTAGAGCTCCAGGGTTGCAGAGCTGGCTGCATGGAGGTGCCCTAGAAATACTCTCTTCTTTGCCTTGAGCACTAGTCACACAGTTAGAAAGCATCCTCTTTTTTTAAACAGAACACATCCCAGGCGATGTGTAGGAGAGCACGGAGCCTAGGTCAGGGAACAAAGAATGAGAACCCACATATTCCCCTTACAGTCTGCAGACCCAGCACAGAGGGACAGCCTGAGGGCCTGTCACGTGGGAGCTGCTTTGGGGTAAATACGTTTCTTTTAACCTCTCTCTACAGGGCAGCAAAACAGCCGGGTACCTTCTATCTGCCGACATCCTGAGCATTTTTAATTAGAAAATAAATATATTAATATACATCATGTTATATATTAAATATATAAATATAAAGGACATATTGTGTTCTTCAACTGGTCAATTACAGTTAAAGTCCCAGATGAGACCCTGCAATTTTGAGACACTGGATTACGCTTCCATCACAAAGCTGGTCTTAAAAACATACAAGGCACTTAAGAGCATTTCTGGTGAGTCACACTGCCTGTTTAAATGCCAACTCTGCCCCTGATACCCGTGTAGCCTCTCTGTGCCTTCATTTTCTCACTGGCAAAATGGGGGTTAAAAATAATACCTAATGCCTATTGCATGGGGTTGTTATAAGGAGTAACTAAGCCTAGATATAGAAAACAGACCAGGATCCTCACATTGTAAGTCCTCAGTACATTCAACCAGTGGGTAGTAATCTTCACATCCACTGACATGGTCAACTAAGCTCCCCTCTGCTGGCCTGGCCTCCTTTTGTCTTCTCAGCCATCCCCAGCGAGCCCCATGGCTCTCCTTTGGTTCCTTGGATAACTACAGACAAGGATGAACCAGAAAGCATAGCTCCCCCAGCAGAGATCTCTGCACTAACAAGTTCCAGAACAGGCTTCTCCCCTCAAGAGAAATTATACACTGAAGACATGCCCGCCTTACAGGCTGGCACACCCACAGTCATGAGGCCTAACAACTAACTCCATTCTCAGAAAGGGAAACTGATTTCCCACTCTAATCCATCCCTGCTTCCTACATCTAAGGATTACACTGTGGCATCTCTTTCCCAAAAGAAAAGCCTAGCTATCCATTTGTATCCTAAATGGAAATGGCCAAATCACCTGGAGGTTTGCCTGTAACAAGCCTGTGGGTTCTATGCCCTCCCAAGGCAAAGCTGTGTCCTCAGCAGCAACCTGAACTGATACATCCTTGACCATCTTGGGAAGAGAAGTGATCAGGGCTCAGAAGCCTGGATGTAGCCAAGCAGTGAGCTCTCTAGACCAGCGGTCGCCAAGCTGTGGTCCACGGACCACTGGTCCAAAAGGTTGGTG